AGATCGCACCACTGCACTCCACCAGCCTGGGCGACAGAGCAAGACTCTGACTCAAAAAAAAAAAAACAGTTGTCTTTATCTCTTCAGTGGGTGATGTAGGGAACTAATTTCTTTAAAATAGTACTTTTGAGCTCTGTTTTCAGCCAAATTGCAGTTGGTTTTAAATTGAGGGGGGAGGTTCAATGTTATTGATATCCTGTGGGTTTTGTGGTCCTATTCAAGATTAATAAATAAATATATATATAATATATATATTATATTAAAAAATATATATTTTAGGTTTCTTAAATGTTATTAACTAGAGCTTGTTAGGAGTCAAGATAAATTATATAGCTGTCACTTCAGGGATCTCTTTGATTCCTGTTCTTTTGTGTTTTTGATGGCTAATAATTCCTTTCCTTGTACTTCATGGGAAGGCAGTGTAGAATAGTGAGAGAGCATAAGTTTTGAAGTCATAAAAACCTGATTGAGTCCTGGCTTTACCACTTTCTACCTTTTACCTTTGGCAAGTTTTTTAAACCCCTAGTGTTATCTGTAAAAGGAGGATTTTAACTGTTTTTACCTTGTAGGGTTATTGTGGGGATTATGTACACGTTAGGCATTCAGGAAATGGTGGCTATATTTATACCTTCTGTCTGCCCTCCATCCCTTGAAGAAATTCTGTGAATAAGAACCAAATGAGATCATTCTGACTATGTCTACATTTGCTAAACTTAAACTGGAGAGTAACATTTTAGAAATCTCTTTCTTCCCTTTTTTTCTTTATAAGGCTTTAGACATTAAAAAAAAAAAAAAAGCTATTGACAGTATATTGTATACCAGTCTCTGAGAATACAAAAGTGTGTAGTCCCTGTTACCTAATGAGGGAGATAATACATACAGTCAGGTAACCATGATGCAGTGTATTATATAGTTTTATGTAATTAATAGCGACAGCAATAGCTAATTTTTATTAAGTGCTTGCTAGGTACCAGGCACTGTGCACTGTGCTGTGTTTTATAATTATACTATTTACTTCTCATACCAACCTGTGAAATAGGCATTTTCGCCATCTTCATTTTACAATTGAGTAAACTAATAAGGCTTAGAGAGGTTAAATTATTTGGCCAATGCCTTCCAGCATTAAGTGGAAAAGTGAGGATAAGAATACAAGTAGCCTGACTCCATTCTCCCTTGGATAATAACAACTCACCTTGTTGGGTAAGGGAAAAAAAGCATTTGCTTATATACATTTGTATTTAGTCTAAATTCAGTCAGCTTGATTTTTTTTTTTTTGTTTTTTGTTTTTGAGACAGAGTCTTCCTCTGTCACTCAGGCTGGAGTGCAATGGCGCCATCTTGGCTCCCTGCAACCTTCACCTCCCAGGTTCAAGCGATTCTCCTGCCTAGCTAGGATTACAGGTGTGCACCACCACACCTGGCTAAGTTTTGTACTTTTAGTAGAGACGGGGTTTCACAGTGCTGGCCAGGCTGGTCTGGAACTCCTGACCTCATATGATCCACCCGCCTCCACCTCCCAAAGTGCTGGGGTTATAGGTGTGAGCCACCACGCCTGGCCAAAATCCAGTCAGCTCGTGATTTGAGGTACAGTACACCTTTGAGAATAAGGCCACAGTCTGCCTTGGGATTGAATTCAGGGATTAAGGCAAGTAAAAATAAGTTTATGTCACTAAAGAAGAGACAGTTTTTTTGGTTGTTGTTTTCTTTGTTTGTTTTTTGAGATGGAGTCTCGCACTGTTGCCTGGGCTGGAGTGCAATGGTGTGATCTCGACTCCCTGCAACCTCTGCCTCCCGTGTCAGTCGATTTTCCTGCCTCAGCTGGGATTACAGGTACACACCACCATACCCGGCTAATTTGTACTTTTAGTAGAGACGGGATTTCACTATGTTGGCCAGATTGGTTTTGAACTCCTGACCTTGTTTTGTGATCCACCCGCCTCGGCCTCCCAAAGTGCTGGGATGGCAGGCATGAGCCACCACGCCTGATCAGAAGAGACGGCTTGATAATGAGCCATGTATTTGTCATGTAGCCCTAAAGAATTTTGTTGACTTGTCATTTACTAGATGTATGGCACTTAACATCTTTGAACTCTAGTTTTCTAATCTGAAGGACCTTGGTTTCTGGATTGAGGGTCTGCTTAGTGTTGCAATAAAAAGATGAGTGTCAGCAGTTTTACAGTGAGTGAAAATTGACCTGTGTAAGGGATATTATCTTAAAATTTTGGATACTGGCAACATACAGCATAAGTTTCTCTAGATTTCCAGAAGAAACGGTGTTCAACATAAATCACATCACTTATACAAACAGTGAAGCACAGTGAGCCACTCTTATCACTGAGGGAATGTATTTATATCAGTGTAGGGAACTGTTTATCAGCCAGCTTGTCAGATGCCCGCCAAAGGCCAACCTTGCAAACAAGCCTTGCTAAAGATGGCAATCTCAGACCCAGGTTCACTTATTTCTACACACTGCCCTTCTTTGTAATTTATCCTGTGAGGTCCCACATAGAAGAAACTAACCTATGCTTTCTCTTTTTATTATTACAAAACAAGCAATTTTGTGCATAGTGTTGAGGAAGACAAAAATGAGGCCAAAAAAAAGAGCTTCTAAAATACCAGATAGTAGTGGAGAGAACATGAGGAGTAGCATACATTTTAGTTGATGAGCAGTTTTTGAGCGTGATGAGACGTAAAAATCACAAAAATAAGCACCTAATAGCCACTCCCCTTTTTCCAAATGGTTCTCTGTACTGTAGTAGAGATAGTACTTGCTTTGAAATGGGCTGTGTTACTATGAAGTCACCTTTCTTGTGATTTCATATAATTCACTGTAAATGTTTCTGTTCCACTTACTGAAGATTGCTTCTAAGTACCAGGCAGTGAAGTTAGAGCTGAGGCTATTTCAATACATTGTAATGGCTGCTTCTGCATTTTATTTCCCTAAATTGCTAAGACGTTATCCTCTGTCTTATAAAGGCAAGTTTCTTTTCTGTGATGCAATGCAAGCAGTAAGGTGTGGCTAGGTCTCTGAGAATATGATTTTCCTGTTTTTGAATGACCCATAATTTTTAAATGACTTTATTTCACAAATAATTCAAATTCTATTGTGAGTTTAGCTCCACAAGTTGGTTCTTTCATTTGTCTTCAAAGTGAGATTTACTTGACAGTGTAAAGAAGCTATCTAGCTGGAAAACCTACTAATTTCTTTTTCGTTCAGTTTGTATCTTTAAAATTAGATGTCATGTTTGATTTGTAGGCTGGCAGTCTATGGCAGTCAATATTACAGCATGCTGCCATGAGTAATTTTCTCAAAAAAGTTTGCTTTTATAAGGCACAAAAGGGAAAAAAACTTGATTGACTTTTAATTATTTTAAGTATGGCTATTTTTAGCTTATGTTATTTCTCCCAACAAACTGCACAGAACAGGTTTTCTCTTTTGTATAATAATATATAGAACCACAGGAAAAAAATTTAAGGTTGATGAATTATATTTCTATAGTTGTTTAAAATCTTTACAATTATTTTTTATCCCATCTCTCTCACTTTTTATTATTATTTACTTATTTATTTTTAGAGACATGCTTTCACTATATTGCCCAGGCTGGACTTGAACACCTGGGCTCAAGCTATTCTCCCACCTCAGCCTCCCAAGTATCTGGGACAACAGGTACTCACCACTGCCATCTCTTTATTTCTTATAGGCAGTATCTCTATACTTGTGTTCAATCAGAAAGATAAATATGGCATTTCCTGTCTTTCAGTAAAGTAATCCATTCTTAATCCAAATGAATTTTGGATTGCTTGCTGGTTTGTAATCTTTATGGAATATAATATTTGTTCACTTGATCTAAAAAATTAAGAGTTGGCCCTTAATGGTTTACAAAAAACAGGTTTATCAGATTATTTGTAGCACCCTGTTCCTTTTAAGCTACATTCACTTAAATACTTGGATTTGAGAAAATTTTCTGCTGTGTAATACATTCACATGGTTAAAGCATTTTAAAGGCACATGTAGAGAAGTCTTGCTCCTCCCCATGTTCCTCTACCCTGATAAGATATCTGGATGTACTGTAGTTTGTTTAACCAATCCCCTTATAAGTGAGCACTTGAGTTACTTCCAGCTTTTCAAACTGGAAAACAATGTTAACAAACAATGTGGCAGCACGTAGGCTTGTATATCATTTCACATGTATTCAGTTACAGAAAAATTCCCAAAAGTGGGAAGTTGAATTCAGGGTGCTAAATTCCGTTCGTAGGTCCTGTAACATTTTGAACTTTACATGAGCAGTGAGTAAGAATTATTTGCCTCTGAATAGTAGTGTTTGGGAAACTTTCTAAACCTCTGTAGATAAGGGAGATAGAAGCAGAGTTTGTCCACACAGTTCCTGATGGGACTGGGTCTGAGACTGGGTTTGTAATTGAAAATTTAGCATTGTGTCCAACAGGCCATACTGGAATTGCTATCTTAAAGTTAAGACATGCTAGTAAAATAATAAAAGTTGTTAGCTGACAAAGTAATATTAAAGGAGGTCCTCCCTATTTTGTTAGTGTCTGTAAATTCATATATCTGTATTTTCTAAAGAATGAACAAATAGAGTAATTTTCTATACTCACATGGGGTAAAATGAAGGTCAGATACGCAGGTTTACACTTACAGTCTCTGCAGCCCATATACGTGTTCTGGTTCTGGACTTGTTTTTGTATACTCTGTATGGAGACTGGCAACCTCAATATCATGAGTACTACCTGATCCTAGTGACCTAGTCTCCTTCAACCTGATTTTTAATTGTTTGGTCTTTTTTTTTTTTTTTTAACTGCTTCTTGCAGGGCTACTCCATAGGAGTGTGCCCAGAATAGCCTGTTTTGCCTTTTAGTTCTGCAACATCAGAAGACAAAGAGTAAATATTATGTATGCATGAGGGATGCTCTTAAGAAAGTGGTTCATTTACTTTTGTTAAGATGCCACATTTCTAGATGCACACTTTTCTGTTTGTTTTACAGTGGAAGATAGATGATAAGCCTGTAAAAATTGACAAGTGGGATGGATCAGCTGTGAAAAACTCTTTGGATGACTCTGCCAAAAAGGTACTTCCTTGAGGAGGGGTTGGTTAGTATATACAACCCCCTATACAACTGATGGCCATCTCTCCTGGAAGATCTTTTCCTTTTGTAACTTGGAGTGAAATTTTCAGTGTTAGAAATTGAGTCAGAAAGCAGTTTCTAAAATTTCTCATAGAAAAAGTCAGAGGAAATGTGTTGAAATACAAATGTTGGCTCTCTCAAGAAAGCTGGTAATTTTTTGTTCCTAAGATTCATTAGCCTAGAAGAGAAGAAGCCTTGAGAGAAGACAGGACATTCATTAGCCTTAAGAGAAGATAGGACGGGGCTGGGCGCGGTGGTTCAAGCCTGTAATCCCAGCACTGTGGGAGGCCGAGGCGGGTGGATCACGAAGTCAAGAGATCGAGACCATCCTGGTCAACAAGGTGAAACCCCGTCTCTACTAAAAATACAAAAAATTAGCTGGGCATGGTGGCGCGTGCCTGTAATCCCAGCTACTCAGGAGGCTGAGGCAGGAGAATTGCCTGAACCCAGGAGGCGGAGGTTGCGGTGAGCCGAGATCGCGCCATTGCACTCCAGCCTGGGTAACGAGAGGAACTCAGTCTCAAAAAAAAAAAAAAAGAGAAGATAGGACATTCATACATGATTCGTCATCTCTTCATTTTGAAAGGAAAAGAACATTTTAGCTGTGGGAAAAGTTGAGGAGTTTAAAGTTTTTATATGAGGGGTTGATGAACTTTTTCTCTTGATCTTTAAAGAAGGCTTGAGTCATATTCATATGATTCTTTTATCATGGAAATCAAGAATAAAAGCAGGAACTGGGAAGGAAGTATTCCTATTAGCCTGATTCCTTCTTTTTCTCGCTAGGTACTTCTGGAAAAATACAAATATGTCGAGAATTTTGGTCTAATTGATGGTCGCCTCACCATCTGTACAATCTCCTGTTTCTTTGCCATAGTGGCTTTGATTTGGGATTATATGCACCCCTTTCCAGAGTCCAAACCCGTTTTGGCTTTGTGCGTCATATCATATCCTTTATTTATGCTCAGGTTTGTTTCCTAGTGACCATTTTTAAAAATCTGCTGATACTTCTACCAGACTTTCATATCTGGGCTTGCTAATGTTAGAATTTAACATTATGAGCTGTGATATTTATATAGTTAACATCTATCAGTTTATTTAGTAACTGTCATTGATATTTTATGTTAGTATGGTTATTTTATCGTAATTCATTTTTGTTATTAATGTAGAGGTCATTATCCTAATATGAGCACATAATAGCACAACACATAGTAACAATGAACCCAGCTCTTCTCAGTTCTAGCCCAGAACTTTTCCCACTAGACCTGACTGCTTCAAGCCACTCATTCTAGGATATTATAAGTGTGGTTTGTATTACAGTGAAGTTAAGAACTTACTCTGGAGCTAGAGAATGTGGGTTTGAAATCCAAGGTATTTGTGATCTTGTGCTAATGAAAATTTACTTATTTTTGGATTATTTAAATACCACTCATTTATAAATATGGGTAGCATTCTGAATTATCATAAAGATTAAATGAGAGATTTTATATTATATTTTATATATAATTGTTTCCTTTCCCCTCATTTTTATGATAAATGTAAGATCGTGGTTGTTGCCTACACAGCTTGATTTTTTTTCTCAAGAAGTTGAGTATAAAGAACTTAATTATATATCACTATTAAAACAGATAATTTTGGCAGGCAGTTTACTTTTTTTTTTGAGACAGAGTCTCACCCTGTCACCCAGGCTGGAGTATAGTGATACAATTTTGGCTCACTGCCACCTCTGCCTCCCAGGTCCAGGCAATTCTCCTGCCTCAGCCTCCCGAGTAGCTGGGATTACAGGTGTGCACCACTATACCTGGCTAATTTTTTAAATCTTTAGTAGAGATGGGGTTTCACCATGTTGACCAGGCTAGTCTCGAACTCTTGACCTCGTGATCTACCTGCCTCTGCCTCCCAAAGTTCTGGGATTACAGGCATAAGCCACTGTACCTGGTTGGCAGTTTACTTTTTTAAACAATGTTACACTACCTGAATTTTTTTTTTTTTTTGAGACAGGGTCTTACCCTGTCACCCAGGCTGAAGTACAGTGGTGCGATCATGACTCATTGCAGCCATAATCTCCTGGCTCAAGCAGTCCTCCCACCTCAGGCTTCTGAGTAGACAGGCACATGCCACCTTGTCTGCCTAATTTTAAAATTTTTTTACCGAGACAGGGTCCCACTGCATTGCCCAGGCTGGTCTCAAACTCCTGGACTCAAGCATCCTCCCAAAGTGCTGGGATTACAGGCATGAGCCACTGTACCCAGCCAGCCTGAAATATGTTTTAAAACTTCGTGTTGGGGATTTATCTTCAGAGGCAGTTAGCAAACCTCTAATAAAGCAGATCTTAGTTAAAAATTATATTATCCAAATTGAATTCCAAATCATAGCCCCCGGAAGTGGCACCAGGTAATCCTTGACTTCTTTCAGTAATCAGATAATCATCCCAGTATGAATTTTTCACTATTAAGGCAGTTCAAAGGAAGAATATGCCATAGGTTCTAGAGACAGGGGAATTCCAAAGAGATTTGGAAATTATAGCAACATTATTACAAACATCTGGCTTCCCAAGAGAATTACCTTGATAGTAATTCATTTGTTTGGTTATATTTGTTGAATAAAACAAGGTCTTATTTTTAGTCATGTCAGTTTTATTTATAATAGTAGTGTCTACCATTATAAATGTCTTCTGTTGCTGGGCATTGTGGATCATGTCTGTAATCCCAACACTTTGTGAGAGGCCAAGGTGGGCAAATCACTTGAGCCCAGGAGTTCAAGGCCAGCCTGAGAAACCCTGTCTCTACCAAAAATACAAAAATTATCTGGGCGTGGTGGCACATCTCTATAGTCCCAGATACTTGGGAGGCTGAGGCACAAGAATTGATTGAATCCAGGAGGCGGAGGTTGCGGTAAGCCAAGATCCGCTACAGCGCTCCAGCCTGGGCGATAGAGCAAGACTCTGTCTCAGAATAAATAAATTAATGAAATAAAATAAAAAATAATTAGCTGAGCGTGGTGGTGCACACCTGTAATCCTAGCTACTCAGGAAGCTGAGATGGGAGGATCACTTGAGCCTGGGATGTTGAGGCTGCAGTGAGCCTAGATTGTGCCACTGCACTCTAGCCTGGGTTTCAGAGTGAGACACTGTCTCAAAAAAAAAAAAAGTGTCTTCTGTATCCCAGACTACATGTATCCTTCATCTCTAAATCTCATGATAATTCTAAAATGTCAGTATTATCCCAATTTTAGAGGTAAGGATACTGACTTGGGAAAGAAAGTAATTTGTTATTATTATACTGATTGAGGGTCAAGATATGTGCTACCAAAGCAAGCACTGTTTATGACATTTATTTTTATTTTTATTTTTTGAGACAGGGTCTTACTCTGTCGCCCAGGCTGAAGTGCAGAGTTGCGATCTTGGCTCACTAGAGCCTCCGCCTCCCCGGTTCAAATAATTCTTCTGCCTCAGCCACCTGAGTAGCTGGGATTACAGGCCTGCACCACCACATCCAGCTACTTTTTTTTTTTTTTGTGACAAAGTCTTTCTCTGTCACACAGGCTGGAGTGCAGTGACGTGATCTCTGCTCACTGCAACCTCTGCCTCCTGGGTTCAAGCCATTCTCGTGCCTTAGCCTCCTGAGCAGCTGGAACTATAGGCGTGTATCACTACAGCTGGCTAATTTTTGTATTTTTAGTAGAGACATGGGGTTTCACCATGTTGGCTAGGCTGTTCTTGAACTCCTGACCTCAAGTGATCTGCCCATCTCAGCCTCCCAAAGTGCTGGGATTACAGATGTGAGCCACCACTCCTGGCCTTAATTTTTGTATTTTTAGTAGAAATGCGATTTCACCATGTTGGTCAGGCTGGTCTCAAACTCCAGGCCTCAAGCAATCCACCTGCCTCTGCCACCCAAAGTGCTGGTATTATAGGTGTGAGCCATCATGCCCAAAATTGTGTATAGTGTGCCATTTAAATTTCATAAACAAAGATCTTATGCCAGTTTTTGGCAAACTGTAAGTGCTCATATATGGTACTTAATACTGTCAAAAACAATATAATAAGTCTGTATGTATACGGGAAGTAATCGTAGTATTATTTGACATAGTCTCTTATAGTTAACTATTTGGGTCAGTTTTCTTTTCTTCCGATGATCTTTGAAAGCAGTTGAACATGGTCAAGTCCGCTAAGACTATTGTATTTTTTTTTTATAAAGAAGTAAACACTGTTATAACAGAGTCTTGGTATCTTCTTATACATGTCTTACATAAAAGTGAAAGCTAGTTTATGCTCTGTACCTTTTTCTCTTCTTTCTTTTTGAGATGTTTGCAGAATTAACTAGAGAGAGTCTTACTTCTCTTGGTATATAAACATAAGAATGAAAATGAAATAGCTAAATTTTCAGTGTTTTTGTAGCAAGACAAAGCTGTCTTCTTTAGGACTATCATTATGAAAGTTTTTATACCTCTTGCTTGTCAATTTGTGTTTCTTCTCTTTTATGTTTGGGTATTTTCCCCTTAACTTTATTTGAACCTATTTTGTGATGATGGGGATTCTGACCATTTATACCTCATATAAAGAGAAGAGCATCTTTCTCGTGGCCCACAGGAAAGATCCTACAGGAATGGATCCTGATGATATTTGGCAGCTGTCCTCCAGTCTTAAAAGGTATGACTATCCTTACAGATTTTTAAATCCTGGTGTTGCATTTGCCCTGGCATATCATCATCATCAACAGAAGACTGTTGTGTGCCTACTCTATGTGAATCATGGGGCTAGTCATATAAAATGAAGAAAGGAGTATGAACGATCTAGAATGTTTGTCCTAGCCCTGTAGTTCTGAGATTGCATTATCACAGAAATACTCTGAGGATAAACTGTGCAAGAATGAAGAATGATTCTTTTTTCTGTAGCCAGTTAACAGAGACGATTAAGAGTATAAAACTGTAAAGGATAAAGATGGGAGATCAGTTATCTTTGAAGAACTCCATTAGCTTCTGTGTCTTTTATGATCCTGTCTTCTCTTCATGAGTACAATCAAGAATCTCTGAAGCAGTGCACTGGGCAACTCAAAAAAAGCACAATCTAGAGTCTATTTCTGAGTAGCATTAGGTATAACTTTGTGCAGCTGACACACGTGTTTTGTAGGTACCAAGAACTAGGTTCATGTTCCAGTTCAGTTTCTTTTTAGCTGTATAACTTTGGATAAATCATATAAATTGTCTGAGCTTTAGTGGGGTCAAAAATGACATCTAGAGTTGCTGGGAAGATGAAATGCCAATTATAATAATAGCAAATATTTATTGAACATTTACTATATGTTGGGTATTCTGCAAAATGTGTTATCTCATTTAAGTTTTAGAACACCCATTTTATAGATAAGAATACAGGCCCAAAGGTTAAATCAATTCTTCCAGTATCATATAGCCCAAAAGTGGTAGAGCAGGAATTCCAGCCCAAGTTTGAAACCAAAATTAATACTCGTAGTCACTATCTTAAAAACATGTTATACTTAACTAGTGCATAGTAGCCCCACAAATTATAAGTACAGTTATTTACATATGAAGTTAAGCGTAGCAACTGTGCCATACAGATTCTTTCATTGTCAACCTGTAGAGGCATCTGTGAGGAAGGGAACCAGACCTTCATTCTGATGTTGCAGGTGAGTTCTTGCTTATCCCCTGACAGGGCTCCTAGCTGCCTTTTGGTCTCAGCCATCATAATCTGCATTCTCTACTAGGCCACTGAAGCAGAGTTGCAGAATTCTAAAACCTAGCGGCATTTTAATTTTATTTTTATTCTGACTTTTATATTTTTTAATAATTATATAATTCACCTATCATACAGTTCACCCATTTGAAGTGTATAGTTCAAAAGTTTCTAGTATATTTACAGATAATTTGCAACCATTATCACAGTCAATTTTAGAGCATTTTCATCACCTCAAGAAAAAAAAAAAAAACTCTGTACTCAAGCTAATCCTTTCCCTGTCCTCCCACTTCCCCGAGCCCTGGGCAACCACCAGTCTACTTTCTCTGTTCTCTTTTATGGACATTTTATATGAATGGAATCATACAATATGTGGTCTTTCATAACTGGCTTCTTTCATTTAGTGACATGTTTTAGCATGTATCAATACTTCACTCCTTTCTATGGTCAAATCATATTCCATTGCATGGGCCAGGCACAGTGGCTCATGCCTGTAATTCCAGCACTTTGGGAGGCCGAGGTGGGCGGATCACCTGAGGTCAGGAGTCGGAGACCAGCCTGACCAACATGGAGAAACCCTGTCTCTACTCAAAAATACAAAATTAGCCAAGTGTGGTGACACACGCCTATAATCTGAGCTACTCGGGAGGCTGAGGCAGGAGAATCGCTTGAACCTGGGAGGTGGAGGTTGCAGTGAGCCAAGATCACACCATTGCACTCCAGCCTGGACAACATGAGTGAAACTCCATCTCAAAAAAAAAAAAAAGGAGATATATATATATATCCATTTGTCAGTTGACAGACATTTGGATTGTTTCTACTTTTTGGCTATTATGAATAATGTTGCTATACATATTTGTGTACAGGTTTTTAAGTAGATATATTTTCATTTCTCTTGGATAATACACCTAGGAGAAGAATTACTAGATCATATGGTAACTCTCTTTGTTTGAGGAAATGCCAGACTGTTGTCCAAAGAGGCCGCCCTATTTTACATTCTCACTAGCACTGTACAAGCGTTCTGATTTTTTCACATTTCCTACTGATTTTTACCAACTGACACATTGTCGGTGGAGTGGAAATGTGAACATACTTGCTCTGTTCCCCGCTTTCTGCTGATGTCTTCTTCCTCCCCTACTGCCAGGTCATGTGATGTGAAAATGGCAATGAAAAGTTTCACAGACTACCAGCTGCCATGTGCAGACGACACAAGCTATTTGTAAAAAGTCTTTGATTTTGTTGCTCCCAGCACGTTCATTATACAGTGTAAACTCCTTCAGCATGTGATCAGCATTCATCCCCTAGTGACATCTCCAGCTTTCTTTTATGCCCCTCTCAAAATAGATTCTCTTACTCTGGCAATTTTATGGAATTTGCAATATGCTGAGTTGCCCAAGTTTCCCAGTGACCCCGTGCCTTTAGACATATTCTTCTATCTGGCTTAGCTATCTTTCTATAACCTGGCTCACTCCTACTTCCAAGAAGTCTTCCCTGACATACCTTATCTAAGGTTTTTGTTTTGTTTTGTTTTGTTTTGGAGGCAGAGTTTTATTTTTTTCACCCAGGCTGGAGTGCAGTGGCATGATCTTGGCTTACTGCAACCTCTACCACCCGGGTTCAAGCAATTCTCCTGCCTCAGCCTCCTGAGTAGCTGGGATTACAGGTGCCCACCACCACACCTGGCTAATTTTTGTGTTTTTAGCAGAGATTTTACCATCCTGGGCAGGCTGGTCTTGAACTCCTGACCTCAAGTGATCCTCCCACCTCAGCCCCCCAAAGTGTTGGGATTACAGGCATGAGCCATCACGCCTGGCCAATCCTAGTTATTCTTAAGAGCATTTTATGCTTACCTCTTTTAGTTACTACATGGAACTATAATTATTTACTGTCTGTGTCTCCTCCTGGGCCTGCCCCCTCCTCCAAAGTGTGAGCTCCTTTACCATTCACTATACACTAGAAACCTAAGCCCACACAGGACTTTCTTACTCACCGCTTGGTAACCAGACCCAGCCCAGGGCTTGGCGCGGCACAGATGTGTTAGTTTGTGAATGATTTATGTTCATCTGGGCTGGGCGGCAGCCTTGGCATCCTAATTAGTCGCTGCCTGCAGCCAAATCATTGTCAGCCATCCACAAAGTCCCCTATAACCTAGCTCTCTCTGAACATTCCCTTCTCTTTCTTGCCCTAAGTGAAACCTGACCATAACCCCTGAGGACATATTTCCCCTGCAGACTGCAAATGGTGGCTAATGTTTCTCTCATAGCCTTCATTACTCTGGTACTACAAGTAGAGATGAGTCTCCCCTTTGCAGCTTCCAGTGCCTCCTCTTCCCAGCTCTCGGAGCAGAGTAAACAGGGCTGGCTCCCCTTCTGACCGAGGCTTGGAGGACCCACACGGGCCGCCAGCGCGACTCTTGTGGCCTGCCAGCGGCTTCACCGGCACCTCGGCGCGGCAGCTCTCGGAGCAGAGTAAACAGGGCCGGCTCCCCTTCTGACCGACGTTTGGAGGACCCACCCGTGTCCCCAGCACAACTCCTGAGACCAGCGCAGTGGCTGTGACGGCACCTCAGCGCGGCAGCACTCGGTGCAGAGTAAACGAGACTGGTTCCCCTTCTGACCGAGGTTTGGAGCCCGGGGAAGGCAGAGTCGCCCATTACGGACACAAGAAGGAAGCCAGACAGGAGAAACCTGGGCAGAAAAGCACCATCAGTCTTAACGCCGCCGTTCTGGCTCTGGGAATTAACAACTTGGACGTCCAATCAAGAGATCTAATCTGAAAGTTGGTAATTTCAAAGACGACAGGAGGATAAATTACAATGATGGAAAGAAACCGGTGTAAAAAGGCTGAGAATACTCAAAATCAGAACGCCTCTACCTCTAAAGATGATCAGTTCCACATCAACAATGGAAGAAGGCTTGACGGAGAACGAGCGCATCCCAATGACAGAATCACTCTTCAAGGAATGGATAATAAGAAATTTCTGTGAGTTAAAAGAACATGTTGTAGCCCAACGTAAAGAAACTAGGAACTTTGAAAAAAGGTTTGACGAAATCCTATTGAGAATAGACACCTTAGAGAGGAATATAAGTGAATTAATGGAACCGAAGAATACAATACAGGAACTCCGAGAAGTATGCACAGGTTTAAACACTCGAATTGTTCAAGCAGAAGAAAGGATATCAGAGGTCAAAGTCCAACTTAATGAAAGAAAACAAGAAGACAAGATTAGAGACAAAAGGATAAAAAGGAATGAGCAAAGTCTCCAAGAAATGTGGGACTATGAAAAGACTAAATTTACGTTTGATAGGTGTACCTGAATGCGATGGAGAGAATGAATCCAAGCTGGAAAATACCCTTCAGGATATTATTTAGGAAAATTTTCCTGAACTAGCAAAGCAGGTCAATATTCAACCCCAGGTAATACAGAGAACACCACAAAGATATTCCTCAAGAAGAGCAACCCCAAGGCACATAATCGTTAGATTCACCAGGGTTGAAACGAAGGAGAAAATACTAAGGGCAGCCAGAGAGAAAGGTCAGGTTACCCACAAAGGCAAGCCTATCAGACTTACAGCAGATCTCTCAGCAGAAACTCTGCAAGCCAGAAGAGAGTGGGGGCCAATATTCAACATCCTCAAAGAACAGAACCTTCAGCCCAGAATTTCATATCCAGCCAAACTAAGCTTCACAACTGAAGGAAAAATAAAATCTTTTATGAACAAGCAAGTACTCAGAGATTTTATTACCACCAGGCCTGCTTTACAAGAGCTTCCGAAAGAGGCATTACACCCAGAAAGAAACAACCAGTATTAGCCTTACTAAAAATATACCAAAAAGTAAAGAGCCCCAACATAAAGAAGAATTTTCATGAACGAATGAATCAGGCAGCCAGTTAACATCAAATGGCAGTAACCCTAAATTTAAATCGACTAAATCCACCAGTCAAAAGACACAGCCAAAACCCAACAGCATGTTACATCCAGACCTGTTTCACATGCAAGGATACACAAAGACTCAAAACAAAGGAATGGAGAAAGATTTACCAACCAAATGGAGAGCAAAAATAAATAAATAAAAAGCAGGAGTTGCAATTCTCGTAGCAGATAAAATAGATTTTAAAGCAACAAAGATATAGTGGTAAAAGGATCAATACAACAAGAGCTAACGATCCTAACACCCAGATACATAGAGACTTAGATTCAATGAGACAGAAAATTAATAAGGATATCAAGGACTTGAACTCAGATCCGGAACAAGTAAACTTAATAAATATTTATAGAGCTCTCCACTTCAAATACATAAAACATACATTCGTATCAAACCACATCACACCTACTCATAGGTTTAAATGAAACATTGATTGGCCATTATTAATACCCATTTTTTTTTTTTTCAGAATAAAGCAATATTTCCGTTCACCCTCCCTCTCTCTCTTCCTCTTTCTTTCTCTCCTTTACTCATTTTTTTTTATTTCCTTCTCTCAAAAAAAGAAAACAACTTGTAAACCTCTAGATCCAGGTCGGCAATGTCTCTCTCATTGCTTGAATTCCTTCCTTCCCTTCCCTCCCTCCCCCCTTCCTGCCTCCCTTCCTTCCTCCCTCCCTTCCTCTTTCCCTCCCTTCCTGCTTTCCTCCCTTCCTCCTTCCCTCCCTAAAAAAAAAACAAAACCCCAATTTGAATGCATGTTATTACATTTTGCCACTTCTATGCCTCTTCCTTGCAGCTAAAAACAGTTACTTTTTCGAAGATAATTCCTGGCTCATAGGCACTCTCTCTAATGTTTGTCTTGGTGATTGCCATATTTACATAGATGTTATTCTAGTAACCTGGCCTCTCAGTTTTACTCTCTCTTTCCATTATCCTGTTTTCTATCTTGTCTTAAACACTTATTTTTATAGACATCGCCTAGTAGACCTTGCAATTACTCAGAACAAATTACCTTCAATAATTTCAGTTTCAAGTATCCCACTCTGACCATTGCTTCCTGTTATTCTAATTTATTTCCTTCTAGTTCTCTTGTCCCAGCAATTCTTCTGCCCCAGTGGCATCTGTAACCCACTTCACTTCCTGGCTTAGATTCCATGATACTTGTGTAGTCTAGTTACTCTGTGCCTGTCCTGGAAGATCTTTCATATCTTCCCTATCCTCAGACCTCCTAGGCCTCCTCCCCCATCTTACTCTCAGGTTTTTGTTGTTGGGAAGATAGAAGCCATCTTAAGTCTACCATCACTACTCACCTACTTCTAGGTACCTATCTAAGGCCTTCCCTCCCTTGGTCCACTGGATTCTATCCCTTCTCCTGTTACTTGATGTTTCCCTCTCTGCTGGATCATTCCTTCTGACTTATAAACATACTGTAATTTCTCCCAACTGAAAAAAAAAAGGTTTTCTTTCCCCTTCTGCTCCTCACACAGTCTCCTCATTTCTCTGTTCTCCTTTTCCTCTTGTGTTATCACCTAGATCTGTTCTTGTCTTCTCTTTTCTCCTCTTGACCTGTCAGCAGCATTTGACACAGCTAATTGCCCTTACCTTGTAATACTTTTTTTTTTAACTAGGCTTCTCGGATACCACACGCTTCAAATTTTTTTCTTACCTTAATATCTGTTTCTCTGTCTCCTTTGTGATTCTTCATCTCCCATTCCCTTACATTTGAAATGTCACCAGGGCTTGTTCTGGCCCGTCTTCTCTATATGATGAAAATCTCTAAATTTGCTTTTTCATCCTTGACCTCTTCTCTGAACTCTAAATATATTCTGGCATTCTATTTGATGTTAGATCCTAATAGGCCTAATAGACCTCAAAGTCAACAGATCCAGAACGTAGCTCATCTCTCCCTCATCCAAACCTGCTCTTCCCTCAGTTTTCCCCACTTCAATTGATGGCAATGCTGTCCTTACCAAACTCAAGTCTTTTTGACTCCTCTTTTTCAGTCCTTTAGTCAGAAATCCTGTTAGCTTCACCATCTAAATATATTATCTGACCATTTACCATCTCTGCTGCTACCATCCTCTGTCATTTATGTTACTGTAATGATGTTCTAATGGACTTCTGCAGCCCTCTCCCCATCCATAGTCTATTCCCAGGACAGCAAGCAAAGTGATTCTTTTGAAACATAAGTCACATCAACTCAGTCTTTTGCTCAAAACCCTCTCAAAAAAGTTGCCGAAATCCTAAGGATGGCTTGGAAGTCCGTACATAACTGTTCTCTGCACTCCACACACACCTATGCAAACATACCCCTCATCTCCTATGGCTCTCATCATCTCCCACTTCATTTTGTTCACATTAGCCCCCTTTCTGTTCTTTAGACGTTTCAGGCATGTTCTTGCCTCAGGGCCTTTTGCACCTTCTACCTGGAACATTCTTTTTCCAGATAGCTTGTTCTCTCACCTTTCTTGGCTCTGCTCAAACATCTGCTTAGTGAATGCTTTTCTGCCCACCTATTTAAAAGAACATCTTATTTTTTTATACTGTCTGTTCCCTCACACACACTAAAATGAAAGACCCAAAAGCCAGACTTTTGTATTATGTTCACTGCCGAATATCTTTACCATCTAAAACTGCCTGACACATATAGGTAGGCTCAATAAATATCTGAATTAATGAGTATTTCTAAAATGTATCAGGTCACAACTCATCAGATCATGGACTTCCACCAAAGCTATGTAACTGCCAATAAAACTGGGCACAGAAGTCTAAAAATTACAGTGATAATAATTAGCAGCAGTTGGTCAGAACTTGAGAAAATCTTTTGAGGTGTTGAAAATAGTTAAAGGACCTTTACTACTAGCTCTCCAAGTTGGAATTTACTGCCTAGACCAACAATTATTGAGGAGCTGTGATTTTTTTTGAGCACTAGTTAATGGTAGGCACTGTTTTCGTCCTGACAGTAATCTTAAAAGCAGGTGGAAGTTCTCCCGTTTTAAACATGCAGAAATAGAGGCTCAAGAAACTGCTTCATCTAAAGATAATATTAGCTTGACAATCCACTGAATATGTCCTAATAAATGGAAACAGGGTGGGGGGATGTCAGCCTACTAGTAGTTCGTGTCATTAAACCCTCTTGAATGGATTGACATAGTAGTGGCCTTCAGGGTACCTTAAAGTGTAGCTAAGGAATCTCTGGAGTTCATCTAGTAAAGCAGTTGGCATCCCTGGCCTGGGATCAGAGTAGAACCTGGAGCTAGGTTGATTACAGAGTGTAAGGATTAGGCAGCCTGGGATTGGAGAGCATCCTTGAAAGCAAGGGTTCTTCATTTATTTATAAAAATTTGATTGCCTACTAGAAACCCAGCTAAGAGTACAAAACAATTGAGACAAAAATCTTTGCTCAGGAATCTCCTAGATAATCCTGATTCAAGCACCAGAAACAAAGAAAAAAAAAAAGCACAACAAACCAACTCCCAGTCTAGTGAAGAACACAAGTACATATCATGTCAACAGATAATTTTGTTGATACCATAGGAGCCTATTATTGGGCCTGGCATATGATAGGAGGTCAGTATTTGAGTTGAATATTGATTGCTGGTGCTACGGAAGACAGAGGAGACACATCTGACCCAGACTGGGAGGCTTTCCCAGAAAAGTTTATGCCCGAGTATAGTATTAACAAATAGGAACATGTCAGGTGAAATGGGGAGAAGGGTCTCCTAGGAAGACCTGTCTAGCATGGCAGATGAAAAGTCCAGAGATGAGAGAAGATGGTCCACATGGCTTAAAAGTCTACAACAAGGTAAAGGAGTTACACAGTAATTAAACCAGGGAGGATATGTCAACACCTAAGAATCAGAACTAGAATCTTGAAGAGTTAGGAGCCCCTGGGGTTTTGTTTTTGTTTTTGTTTTTAAAGGATGTGTGTGTTCCGTGTATCACCTGTGCCCAACTGACTCCTTTACTTCGGAAACACTGGTGCTGTGTTGTTACTGGTCGAATCTCTGTGTTTGGATTTTGATTTGTTATCTTTGCCCCCATGTTTAGGTTTGATGACAAATACACCTTGAAGCTGACCTTCATCAGTGGGAGAACAAAGCAGCAGCGGGAAGCTGAGTTCACCAAGTCCATTGCTAAGTTTTTTGACCACAGTGGGACACTGGTCATGGATGCATATGAGCCTGAAATATCCAGGCTCCATGACAGTCTTGCCACAGAAAGGAAAATAAAATAGCCAATTCTAAAAGTAGCTCTCTTTCTGCTGGATCTTGCTGAATTACTGGTTTGGGGGGTGGGGGAGATAAAAAGAACTTAAAATGGGTAAAGTAAGAAATGTTAAAAAGTCCCTGTTTTGTCCTGAAATTTTAGTCTATTCTGGATAAATAAGATTTTCTGACACAGATAGGAGAAGTTGTAGTTCTGATGTCTAGCTGTAGTCTCCTTGGTCTGCTATTGCATTATTTTAATTTGCTTTTTTGGGAAAGCAGTTTTGCTAAAAGCTGTACAGACTTTCCTTTGTGCCTAGCAGTACTTTATATAGAATAGCTTTGGGCTATGTAGCATATTAAGACTCAATTTTTAAAAATTATTAATCTGTTGCTGACTCCGTTAATTCCTATTTCAACATGTGTTTCCTTGAAGAATTCAGGATACAACTTCTTGCGTATGACAGCTTTCCTTCACACACTATTTTTGTGGGTGTGTATATATCTGATTTGGGAGAATTTAAAAAACACATAGCTTTTTAATTTGTTTGAAACAGCTCTTCTGTCTGTTACATTTTGTGCTCTTAACCAATTAAAGAAGCCAATGGCATTTTAGTTTTATATTGTGTTTTCCACTAGTATATCCCTATTGATTTGTTTGTGCCTTTTATTAACTGCCATTTTCTAAAATTTTTTTCAATAAAAGGAAGGAAGATGTGGAAAAAAATGGAATCATAGTCTTGATGGAAAGAACAGAGCAGCAAGTGCTAACATCTTTCTGCTTTAGGCTTCTTTTGTTTTTAGGCTATTTTAGTTGTCAGAGGCCCCTGTAGCTGAGCAACTCTTAGCTTTCCAGTGATAACAATAATAACAACATGCCCTACTTTGTGCCAGAAAGTGCTCCAAGTACTTTACATGTGTTAACTCAATAATGCTCACAGCAATCTTAAGAGGTAGGTACTGTTATTATCCCCATTTACACACAAGGAAACTGAGATACAAAAGTTAAATAATTGTCACACAGCTAGTGATAGAACTGGGACCTGGGGAGTCTGACTTCAGAGTTTGTGGTCCTGCAGAGACAAAACAGCAACTTTTCCAGTATTTTCCCAGGATGTTCAGAGAAGACCTGGGTGCTTGCCAAGATCTTTTGACCTTCAGGAATATTTCCCTACAGCCTTACAAAAATTCAATTCCAGCTAAGCCTAGTATCCAACACTATATTCAGTTTGTAAGGAATTACCCTTATCACATTTCCTGTTTGTCTTGGGAAGGTTGTCTTATCTAGCACCACACAGTAGGGAATTGTGAACAACACTGGACAGAAAGTTAAAGCCTTGGATTTTGTACTGTTCATTCCTATAAACCTTGGGTACGTCACAGAATTCTCTCTGAGCTTCCAGTTTCCTCTTCCTTTCTCCTGCACTCCTCCCGCAAGGTGATAATCCTAATCTGTGAGCTTCTTAAAGTTTTTGAAGGCATAACCAGATAATTGTATTTTTACAATGGAGGAGTTGCAGTCATCTCGATATCTGTGAGAGATTGGTTCCGGCATCCCCAAGCATACCAAAATCCAAGGATGCTCAAGTCCCTTATATAAAATGGTGTAGTATTTGCATATAACCTACACACATCTTCCCATATACTTTTAATCACCTCTGGATCATTTATAATACTTAATACAATGTAAATGCTATGTAAATAGTTATACTGTATTGGTTTTTTTTAGTTATTTTTTAAAATATATTTTTAATACATGGTTGGTTAAATCTTTAGGTATAGAGGGCCAACTGTACTGTTAGACGCAAGGCTCTCAAGGCTTGCAGATAGAGACAGTGAGTAACCCTCTCCATGATGATCCCTTAGCGTTCCCTCAGTGTGCCTTTTTCTTTACATGTACATGTAAACATGTATCTCTACATATACTTTTTTTAAACAAAAACTGAATTATGCCGATATATGTCCTGTAATTTGTGTTTTAAACTTAATGTATCTTAGGCATTTTCCCTGTCTGTGTGTGTGTATAATGCAGCTTTTAAAAATGAGTCTGAGGGCCGGGTGCGGTGGCTCAAGCCTGTAATCCCAGCACTTTGGGAGGCTGAGGCGGGTGGATCACGAGGTCAAGAGATGGAGACCATCCTGATCAACATGGTGAAACTCCGCCTCTACTAAAAATACAAAAAATTAGCTGGGCATGGTGGCGCGTACCTGTAATCCCAGCTACTCAGGAGGCTGAGGCAGGAGAATTGCCGGAACCCAGGAGGTGGAGGTTGCAGTGAGCCGAGGTCGCGCCATTGCACTCCAGCCTGGGTAACAAGAGCGAAACACCGTCTCAAAAAAAAAAAAATGAGTCTGAGGCCAGGCACCATGAGTCACGCCTGTAATCCCAGCACTTTGGGAGGCCAAGACAGGTGAATCACCTGAGGTCAGGAGTTTGAGACCAGCCTGGCCAATATGGTGAAACCCTGTTCTACTAAAAATACAAAAAATTAGCTGGGCATGGTGGTGGATGCCTGTAATCCCAACCACTTGGGAGGCTGAGGCAGGAGAATGGCTTGAACTTGGGAGTCAGAGGTTGCAGTGAGCCGAGATCAGGCCACTGCACTCCAGCCTGGGCAACAAGAGTGAAACTCTATTCCAAAAGAGACGTATATAAAAGAAACTGTCCTAAAATGCCACACGTACAAAGGTGGGGGACCAATTGCAATAAGTAGCTGGGCTGATAACCCTTACATACATACATACATACACACACACACACACACACACACACACACACATACATATAGGTCAGACTCATTTTTAATAGCTACATAATATTTCATAGTATAAATGTTTTTAATTTATTACCCTGTTGATACATTTTTCAGTATTCCAGGAAGGAGTGTGGTTAAAGAGAGGAAAAGAAAATAGGTCCTCAAATGAGAGACAAGAAATCTGGGTTGTTGACTACTTTTTTCTAATTTGTGACCTTGAACACATCCCATTCCTTTTCTAGGGTGAAGTCTCTTGTTTAAAAAAGTTTTAGAGAATGTATTCTTTTGAGATTATGAAGACTCCTCACTCTCTGGAAAATATAAAACATCCTTTATGATTATGAAGAATGTTGGGTTCCATATCCCTGAAATCTGTCTGTAAACTCCACTTGAGACTTCTTGGACTGCATGAATCTCTTTTAAAGTTTTTCCCTGACCCCAGAAACCAGTTGAGGCAATTTAGATTTGTTGAGGAAGTGGTCTGTCAGCCCAGCTACATGTTGCAATTGGTCCCCTGTCTTTGCACTTGTGGCACGTTTGGAGTGTCTCATCACAGGAACAAAAAATACCCTCTGTAGGCTCAAGTGTCAGCATGGACACCCTTTGTAGAGCACCCCTGGTCAGCTTCTGACACATGGGTCTGCTGAGTAGCTACTTCAACCCTGTCCTGCTAAGTACCCTCTAGTAGGTCTGCAACACCCTCGCCACCAGGAAACCCTGACACCCATCACATCATGAGTGTCAGTTCCTCACACTTACCTCAGATGGACTTCTTTCTAGAACACAGAGGGCCACTGAGGACAGTGGGAAAAGATCCTAATATTTTTCATTATTTGCAAATTTCAGTTGTCGTGCTTTTATGTATGTGTGGAAACAATCTTTGCTTCAGAATGCTTCAGGGAATGGAAGAAGATGGCAAAGTCCCTTTGTGTACACATAAGTTGTGTTCTTCTCTGGACACAAGTTCCTCCCCAGCTTAGAGCCCTATCTTTCACTAACTCTCTACCTTATCCACTCCTGGCTAGCCCCACCATACCCCAAACCTTTTCTCCATGGTGGAAATCATCAGCGAAAACTGTTAATATTACTTTAATTTAGACTTTTAGAATATATTCTTTCCCCACTGACAGCCTTTTTTGTTATTAACCCACCCTGAAAGCATTCTGGTGTTATCTATGGTCCTCTTCTCAGAATAATGTTTTAAATGCATACATACATCATTGTCTGTTAATAAGGAACTGGGGAGGTGGTTCCAGAGTACTGGAACAGATTCAAAGACAGTTGCTGAAACTATGTCCTGGTTGTTGCTTACTCTTTTTTTTTTTTTTTTTTTTACAAGTTCTATTGGTGTATCAATGTCAATTGATGCTCACTCTTCTCTAGGAAGAAGTACTTCCCCACTAATCTGGCATTCAGCCTCAAGTATGCCTCATTTTAACTGTTGCTACTAACATTCTTCCTATATAGGCATCAGGTTCTTCCTCCTTTCTGGTAACAGTCACAGAGACATGTACTTACATGAGCTTGAAAGAAGGGAAATTCCCTACTCCCATGGAGAGAAACCAGGTGAATTGTTAGAACTTTGGCTTATTCACTTGGACATAGAGGGACTCAGGGTACATGATGCTTGTTAAGAAAGAATCTTAACAACTGTTGGGCTGTCTTATAGCCATCCCCTCCTTCAGTCTATCATGCCAGCCTTAGACCCATGCAGACACAACAGGAAAGGTCTCAGATTTTTTCTTGGCTGCTATAAAAGAGCTTTAGCCCTTTGAGAGGAATTTCCTTGTGACAGACTGTTCTGAGAAGCAATTGATGAGGATTGAGTAGTAGTCAGGCTCTTAGTACCCCAGCGTTGGTTGAGAATACTGTTGAAGGTGACCCACTGGAGAAAGAGAAACTGCCGGGAGAGGCAATCCCCCATGAGCCCTGAATGCTCCTGCATGTATGTTCTTGCTTCATGTGAATGAAGCTGCACCTCAGTGTTCTGTTGGGAGTAAGCTACCTTGAAATGAGTAAGTTTGCCTATTGCTCACTGAAAGTTTTGAGCACCTCCCCCCACAAGCTTGGGGTCTGCATATGTAGGCATCCACCTAGGCCTACCCTGTGGCACTTTTGGGAGTGTAGGCTATGGGCAACTGGTACTAACATGCTCATGCTGCTGGCTGTTGTCATAAGTAATAAAGTTATTTGTCTCCGAGCTAGGAATCTCATGTCTTCTGCCAGCATCCATGAAAGCATAGCAAGCTAGCTGGTTAGCTTACAAGTAGGATTAAAAGTCACAGATGTGAAATCCTGACCAACATAGTTTTCTAGAATAGAAAGAACAAAGGCCTTTCATGGGCTGGATTAGGGGATACAAGAAATTCTCTGGGATCTGGTAGCAAATCAGATATTCCCAAGTGAGGGAGGAGGAGAGAGTCCATAATTGTTCTACCTGTGAATAATTTGAGGCTAAGCAGCAAGAGGTAAGATTGAAACATGCTGCCCAAATTGTACTTAGGTTGTTGCTCAGTCTCTGGGCAGGAGGTAGAAAGGATGTTTTGACAATGAGGTGGCAAGCTCATGGCTCCAGCCATGGCCGATGAATGATTTCCCAAATATGAAATAAATGATGGCAGCAATAAGGATGTAGAACTTTGAATGGACTAATTAGCCATTTGTTGTGTCACTTGAAAGTAAATACATGGCCTTGCTGACTGACACAAAGCCATTCTTATGGCCTACACCCCCAAAAGTGCCACAGGGTAGGCCTAGATGAATGCCTACACATGCAGACCCCAAGCTTGGTGGTGGGGGTGGGGTGCTCAAAATTTACAGTGAGCAATAGGCAAACCTGCTCATTTCAAGGTAGCTTTACTGCCA